GGACAATGCAGTGTATCACTAAGGATAATAGTAGCAAGTTTTATTTCATTGTTAGTCAAACTGAAGTGAACCACTTACTACCAATTTGACACTATACAGTCAAGGATGAAATGAAATGGTGTTTCCCCTTGAAGTCATTGACGATGTACCCCATTGATAACAACCTGTTCTTGAGGAGGTACAACCTGAATTTTTGTGGTTTAGGGTTTCCCTTCAGCGTTACCTAGATGATTTCCTTTCTCAGTAATTTCTTTAAACATTTTTAGTATATGTTATGTTCTGAATTTTTATTTTCAGTTTCTGAACCATGTTTCTGTCTTTGAATTTATGATATGTTATGAATTTTTATTTTCAATTTTTGAATCAGATTATAGCATTTTGGTCAAGATTTTGAACTGGATAAGTTCAAATCAAAGAAGGATTTTGGAAGGTATTATATTCTTTGATCCTTTCTTTTATAGTTTTATTCATAAAAGAATATTAATTTATTGTATTTTTATTAATATATATATAATAAAAAAAAAGCATGAAGTTGGCGTTCTAGAGCGGGCCGTTCTGGCCTGTTCTAAAAGCAGAACGACCTAATGTTGTGTTAAATTTGCATTTGGAACGGCCCATTTCAGTTGCAAAATTAACACATAACATGTGCAAGTAGAACGGGCCGTTCTGGTTTCAGAACGGGCCATTCTGGTTCCTATGCATCTACGTGGCATCCACCTGGCATCCACGTGACTAATAGTTAACTCCGTTTAATTCATTTGGACGGAAGTCCCAAATTGCAATAATTTAAATTATGGTGACCAAATTGAAACAAAAAAGTAAAGTAGGATTAAATTGAAGCAAAAAATTAAAGTAGGACTAAATTGAAACAAAAAATTATTATAAGGGATCAAATAAGGGTTTTAACCAAAAAGAAACGTCTTTTCTACTTCTCTCTTACACACACACACAACAAAACTTTGAATGCTTGAAAACTCATTTTTATGTATCCTCTAATCGATAATTCTTTACGATTTGTTTTGACTATTTTTTGTATCGGTGATAATCACGTAACTTTTTTTTTTTTTTCATTTATGAAAGTTATTAAAACAAGATTAAACAAATAAGATGAAAGATGACTTTCATTACATGATTATTTATATCAAATAAGAGATTAATTGTTGAAAAATTACTACAAATATAACAATTGATGATTTCACTGTATAGATCAAAGATGAGCTCAACTTCAAAAGAGAAGTTTCATATTTGTTTGTTTGTTTATATTAAAATATTAATTATAATTATATATATTTTAACCTTTTTCAAATTATTTGTTAAATCTTGAATGTTGGCTAAATTTTCATTGACATTGTTGAAATGTTATATTTTGATAATAAGAAAAAACTAACATTGTTGTTGGTTTTATATGTTACATATTTTATCTCAATAAAAGACATTGTTGCTACTTTTTCTAATTTCTTATTTTTTTTATACTAGTCATTGGCACTTTTATGGTGATTGTATTTGTTAGTTAGTATCTCTAAGTTTTTTGCTCATAAGAAAATATTAGTTATACATGAAATTTCTTATATAAGTCATGTCAAGGCCAATCCTAACAATATAAGCTCGTGACAAGAGATAACACTACTAGAAAAGTGTTATTTTTTTTTCAAATTTTCTTGCAAAAAAATATTCGTAGAAAGTTTTTGCAAATTTTCCTGAAAAAAAATATTTGCAGAAATTTTTTGTGAATTTTCCTACAAAGAAATATTCGCAGAAATGTTTTGCAAATTTTCCTGCAAAATATAATTTACAGATATTTCTTACAAAATTTGCTACAATTTTAATAATCATGGAAAAAAAATTTCCATGGTAAAAATTTGCAGAAAATATTGTAAGAATTTTATTTTGTTTCTTGTAGATTTTCTTGCAAAAATAAATTCGTAAGTAATGTTTACTAAATGGTAAAAAAATAAAAAAAAATATATTTAAATTCATAAGTTTAATATTTTAAAAAATCTTCAAGTCCCACATCGATTGAAAATAACACAATTAAAGAGTATATAAGTTGGAGTAACACTTACCTTCCAAGTTGAATTGTATGGTTAAGTGTGAGGCTTATAATCTACAATCTTAGAATTTAAAAGATTATGCATGAGGCATGAAAATAAAAGATTATGAATTCTTAAAATATAGAATTTATAGTAATTTTTTAAAAAAATTTCGTAAAAAATATTCCTGCAGAATTTCTTGCGAAAAAATTCGCAGGAAAGTTTCTTGTGAATTTTCTTGCGAATTTTTTTTTTCAGGAAAATTTCCTGCAAATTTTTTTTTTGCAGGAAACTTTCCTACGAATTTTTTTCGCAAGAAATTTCACAAGAAAATTTCCTGCAAATTTTAAAATTCGCAAAAATATATTATCCACGAAGGTATTACCTGTAAATAAAATTTCGCAGAAAAATTTGCAAGAACACGTTTCCTGCAAATTTTTATGAAAAATTCGCAAGAAAAATTGCATGTAATAAGAGAAATTCTAATAGTGTAAATATGAATCCTTGAATATTAATGTTTTAAATCATAAACATTTCTGACATAAAAATAGATTTATGATTTAATTAAAATTTAATATATCATCATTTGGTCACGAATTTTTTTAAGAATTTTAAATTAGGTCTTTAGACTAAAAAAAATTAAAATTGGATCCTTCATTGTTATATATATATATATATATATAATTTAATCTCTAACATTACATATATATTCATTTATAATATGTTAATTTGTCATAATACTTTTATATTCACATACTTAGACAACAATATTAGATTATTATTCAATTTCATTATATATATATATATATATATTAATATATCTACTTATTAAATAATAATTTTATTTTTTAATCAATAAAAAATAAAGTTATATTAAATTAATACGAAGTACGAAAATCCATATACAACCCCTAAACTTAACTAATTCATATTATAGAATTGGGTACTTTCTATTTATGGTTTCTCAAATTATAAATAAAAGATAAGCAACCAATCACCAACCCATCTACTTAATATCAAGTTCAAATGAACTTATTTCCATATCTTTGTCAGGGGTGTGCAAAAAATCTAAATTGATCCGAAACAATACATAACCGATCCGATCTTTATTGAAAAATTCGATCCATTTAAAAAAAAAAAACTAAACCAATTCACTTTATAAAATCGAGTCAGTTATCAAATCTACTTTTACAAAGTGAATCGATTTGGTTCAATTTGGTTTTTTTAAAAAATTGATTCATATATTAATAAAAAATAGATAATTGCACCGCATCAAATCAATCCAATTTTAAAAAAATCAATCCATATTTTAAAAAAAAACTAAACTAATTCACTTTATAAAAATCGGATCGGTTAACCGAACCACTTTTATAAAATAGTTCAGTTCGGTTTGGTTTGGATTTTTCAAAAAATAAAACCATGAACACGCCTAATCTTTGTATAGTCATTTGAGAAGTACAACAATACAAATTACATGTTTAATATCAATTTAAGAATAACCAACACAATATATGATTTGTTGATAAACTAGAAGACATTTCAAATACACACATGATTTTTTTCCCTAGTATATATATGGAATCTCATCATTATATACAAGAAATTGGTTTGGAATATTCAAATCATAACACATGATCATTAAAATCTACTATCTCAATTTCTATTTATAAGAGTTATCTTAGAATAATTGTTTGTTCTTTTATATAACACTCAACTCATAGTGTTTAATGTATTAATTATTTTTAGACTAAAATACTCCTAATTAAATTAAAACTTGTTCTCATAATTTGTTAGAATACATTAATTATAAACTCTTTAAAAAACACGCATACATTCTAATTGACTAGGAGAGTAAGTAGTATTAATTATAAGAAAGAAATAGTATATGATATACTCTCTAATTGATTAAAAGAGAAGTGAGTATTAATTAAGAGAAAAAGTAGTATGAGAGTAGTTTTAGAAGAAAAAAAAATTATAAAAATAAGACATTTATTATTGTCAACTAGATTAAGTATTTTTTTTAATCTTGGTAAATTAAATATTTTAGTCTTATATATAAAAATTGAGATAGTAATATTTTAATTGAGACCAAAACTTATAGGAAAGAAATTAATATAAAATAGATTTATGAATGAAATAAAACATAGTGTATTTACATACAAAAGTTGTAAATAAATGTCTATTTAAGTTTTACATAAGAAAATGCCTATTTTATATTGACCTATAATTATTTGAGTTGTATAGGAAGGACTTTTTAAGTTTTATATGCAAATAACACTTATAGATACAAATATTTGACATTTATCTAAGTATTAAACAATTTTTGGTAGAAATATTTTTTAATTGTACCTACCAATATTATATCATTAAGAATAATACATCCATAGATATAAGTCATTTTTCTTGTAATGATTCACTATTTCTCCATCTGGTAGGATTTTTTTTTTTGCATAAATACTTATTTATCTACCGAAGAGAAACTAGAGTTGTTAATATATCAATAATTGCTACGGTGCCGGTTTATTTGAGAGGGTTTGAGTACCCCTTTGATTGTCGAAAATAAAGAAAAGAGTTTGGAAAGGATAGTAGAAATGAGAGAAAGAAAAAGAGAAAGAAAAAGAGAGTAAAGAGAGATTTCATAAATGTCCCTTGATTGATTGTATGAAAGTGGACCATGACTAGTCACTTAATTTATATTCAACACAAATGTCAATATGTGATTTGTTATGTGATTTGATAATCATCAAAGGACACCCAAATTCTTTCAAACAAACTGGCACAATAGTAATTACCTATATACATATTATTCATAAAATAAAAATTTAGATTGAGTCCAACTAGCTTCCTTCGTATGAATCCTAAAGATATTTTTCATTATCCAAATCAATTCAAAGATAATTTAATTAAACTTTTAACTACTTAGTGTATATATCCGGATCCGTTGCATGCAAAAACGAACTATCAAAGAGTCCTTCTCATCCAAAAAAGAACAAAAAAAGAAAATCCTTGCGTATACGTAGACATGTGTTATGATGTAAGGATCATTAATTAAAAGGTTAAAGTTATATGTACAAAGAGTAGAAGGTTGACTAATAAAGAAGCTAGGATGATATATAAATATAATAAGGTACAGTACGTAAGAATTAAAGAGTTGATGCAATTAGGAAGCGACTAATTAATAAAGCCATGTCTGCTGGGACAGCTATTTAGTCGTGATAATAATTACCGTACCAACCAACATGCAGGTCTGCTCGCTTTGATCCTAATGTCAGTTCCTATGGAAAGGTTTTTCCATCCATCTGCTATCAATTAAGTTAATTAATTAAGCTCACTGATTGATCAATCACATTAATTAATTATTAATTGTTGAAACAGATACTATTATTATTATTATTATTATTATTACTAGCTAGGGATAATAAGGAACGTTAACCCCAGGCCAATAGGGTAGTACTGGAACTGTGTTGTAATCCTCCAAAGTGAAAGCAGAACAGTTTCCCTCTCCAATATTCTGCTGCTGCTGTTGCTGATGATGATGGTGCAGTGTTCCCCGTTTGGAGCAACGCAGAGCCTCTGACGTGCTTTCTACTGTTTCCTCCCCAGAGATTTCTGTGTAACCTGTTGACACTTGGGTTCTAGAAGCTTGCTCTCTCACCATTGCCTTCAACTTCATCACCTGCAAGGAATTCGATCCCACGAATATTGTCTACTCAAACTTCACCATCAATCATTGTGTCAAGACAAGCCAAAAGAAACACAGTAGTGTTGTGGTTTTTGAAACCAAAAGCAACATACACATGCACAAAAGCAAAAACTTCAGCAAAGTGCGTGTCTATGCGTGTCACTTGCATGGAGAGAGAGAGAGAGTGTGTGTGTAAATTTAGATACAAACTGCCACTTTTGGATATCCCAACAAGGGAAATACTCACTTGACATCACCATTTCTATATGTCTCTCTTCTTGTTACATTATAAGCATGCTTAAATATAAGTTTAGAAAATTTTTCTTATCTATTAAAATTAAAGAACCATTTTTTCATAAGAGTTATTTTAAACTTATATCTAAAGAGGTTGTATTTCATCTATCATATTTATCACTTATTTGTGGATTTCCAAACAAGGGAAATACTCACTTGACATGTCATTTCTACGTGTCTCTCATCTTGTTATATTAGACCACCTATCAATTTATCACTATCTCTTCTTCTATTTCTTTTTTTCTTTTAGGTGTAGACATCCCAATATAGCTGTCCTGAAAATATTAGTGTCTACAATTTAAGAGCAGCAAGAAAAATGATTTTTGGACTGTCACATATCTGTTTAACACTTGGTAAGAGAAACAGATAGAGGTGTAGCTAGTTTTGATAGATAAAAAGAAATGATAACAGTTAATAAAGAGTTTAGAGTACTGAAAGAATCCCATGGATCATTACTGGAAAAAGAAATATAGAAGAGAAATAAAAATAAATATGATAAGTGATATGATAGTGAGAAAAAGTTGATACAAAGAGTATCAAATGTGTGTTTGTGTTGATCACGTGTCCGAAAACTGGGATTGATATACATATTGCATATATTTAACCAACCTCTTCCTCGAGCTTCTGTTTTTCCTTTGATATGACATCAAACTCCTCCTTAAGTGAATCGTACAAGTGTTCAAGTTGCTTGTTCTTCCACCTTGCACGCCTATTTTGGAACCAAACAGCAATTTGGCGAGGTTGAAGCCCTAGCTCCTTGGAAAGCTTCATCTTCCTATCTGGGTCTAACTTTATCTCCTTCTGAAAGCTACTCTCCAGTGAGTCTAACTGCTCACTTGTTAATCGCTTCTTCTTCTCCTGGCTCCCGCAGTTTATTTTCTCCATCGATGAACTTGTCTCCGCTAGTGTTTGTTCTTTCACTTCCATTCCTTAATCAACACATAGAGGGTTATATTAGCCAAAGAGTTTTAATATTCTTCGATGGACAGTGCAATTTTAATGTTGCCAAACTCGCTTGCCTTAGCATTAAGAGTTATGGTGGGGCAATAGCATTAGTTCTATTCCTACTTTGTATCACTTCTTCAAGAAAAGCAATAATTATTGTGGGGCAATAGCTTGAGGTTCAAGTTACTATTCATGTGAAAATTTACAAAAGTGGACTCTGAAAGTTGTCCAAAACGTAAAGGAGTTACTAAGTTGCATGGTAGAAGTCAAGTGCTTCAGGGCATGTTTGGATGGGCATGCTAGATCCATATCCAAGCTTAAATCAATCAATTTTGATGGAAAAGCAACTAATAGTTGCTTCGGCGGATAGTGGCATCAAATGTATTACCAAACACACACTCAAACAGAAAAGTAGTAAACTATGAAGAGTGAGAAAGAAAAGCAACTTGATGGCATAACATTCAAGGAAAAGGTGTGAATTCTTTATGAGAATTGAGAGTACTAGTAGATGGTGTTTTGATCATGTTTTTACCTGGATATGGGGTGTAGTTGTAGTTGTAAAGGAAGCTTAAGGAAGCCTCTGGTCGAGGAACATAACGTCTTGTGCTCCCATTCCACTCCATGTCTGCCTTTGTTTTCTTGTCTCTCTTCCCTTCAACTTCAACTCCAATCTTTATCTGTGTTTATATGGGCCTCACTCGGTTGTAGAAGTGCTTGGACCACAAGGGCAGTGAAGAGAAGATAGAGAGAGGTCATAGGTGTCTGCAGCAAGCATAAATAGAGTTTATGGGATTTGATTCCTCTGAAAAAAGTATATACATATACTTTAAAGGAAAAATAATACGTGCACTATGAGTTTATGAGTTTTGTCATACCGAGAGAGAGAGAGAGAGATTATTTGTTAATAGTAGTATCAAGTACCAACAAAATCTTTAAATTTTGAGAATACCATGAAATTTCTTGAATGTATATAATTGATTATGTTAAATAGGTATGACTTTATGAGTTTATATTTAAAGTGCAGCAGTCCTTTTAGAAGAAAATTTTAAATTGGTGTTTGAGATGAGTAAGGTAGGTAGGTAGGTAGGGAAGGGTGGCACTAGAGTTGTAAGGGCTTGGTGGGTGGAAGGAGGGTAAGAGTTGTGAATTTGGTGAAGTATGGATCCTACTTCACTTTTGGGGCGCAACAAAGTTTTGTGTTTAATGCAGAGACCGTACATGCAGACTAGGTAGGGAAGAAGGGAAGAGAGTGAGGACAAGGCGTGAAAAAGGGAAGGCATATGTCAGTTGGCCCCCCATGCAGCCTTCAACGGGGACCATATTTGATCATAGACCTATGAATCCACTCTTATAGTTTTTCCTTTTCCATTGTGCCACGACAACACAATCACCCAAAACTGATGGTTTTCCTTTTTCTCTCACAGCACAACAAATGTGGGCACATTTGCAAAATGGGTAAAATGGGTTCCAAAGTGGCAATTTAATAGCAACATAGGAGAAGTGGTTCGCCTCAAAAGAGGGTCACCAGTACACAACCTGCCACCACTGCTGCCCTCACATGAGACAAATAAAGTAAGGTAAATAAAACAGAACACAAGGCCTCATTTCTGTTTCTTTCAACCCTCCTCCTCTCCCTTTCACCTTAATTATATCTTTTGCAGTGTCACAGAGAAGAAAGCTGATACAATCTCACTTTCACCTCTCCTGTCTCTAAATCTATCTGTTGCTTGCATGAAATCGGGATCTGGGTTTGCTTTTAAATTTTTTTAAAATTTTTATTACTCATCATATCATGTTATTGATATAAAATATTTATCTATCGAATAAAAAATTTAAATAATTGTTTTTAGTAAGATCTTTTCTCTTAACTATAATATTGATAAGAAACATTCATCAATTTCACTAATGATTAATTTTTATATATATAAAAAAAATTGATTGATAACTTTTAGTATAGTCTACCATCTAAATCCTAATTACATACAATACTTTTATACATATAAAAAATTTGAATGAAAGACTTTATTTAAAAAGATGAAGTTTATATCACTCAAATCAATTGCAAAAGCCAAATTGCAAATGCAATATTGTAATATGCCATCATTGATTCATTGTGTGAGTGGTGTGGCATGTGGTAGTAGGGCTAAGTTGACAGATTGGACTGCGTGTTTGAGTGTACCTTTGCTACAAATAAAAGCATAGGTTGGAGCGATAAGGAAGGCCTTTCTTTCGGCCCCAAAATGGTGATAGAGATGGATGAGACAAAGGTCATTGTAGAATCCAAGTTCTACTAGTGTGCATCTTTCGAAGTTGTTTCTCATGTCCCATGATAACAACATCTCATACTTAATAGCGTGATGTCGGAAGAAACACTCATCATATGTGCAAATAATAAATCTTCCTGCCCTATCAGAATCGTGATTCGCTTATGCCACAACCAACTAAGAACGTAATTGAGTAAATATTCCTATATATATATTCAACAACATAAAAAAAACCATTTAAATCATATCAGTAACACAAAATCTAACGTGAGAAAGCCCCAGAAATTATTAGGTACTATGAGAATATCATGTGTTTATAGGTTTATGGTTCGGGTTGTGACATTTCTATATAATCTTAGTTCTTATAATTAAAAAAAAAAACAGAGAAAACTTAAATAATAATAAAAATACTAGAGATTTCGATGATGAAATTTCTCATTTAAGAGAATTCAACAAAAAGTTACAATCGAAAAGAATCCATTTTCCTATAACTTTCCCTCATTTTTTGTGTAACACATCCAAAAATTATATGGAAAAAGTTGATAATATTTAATTATGTATAATGTAAAGATTAGTAGGGATCAAGATAGTTACGAATTACTTGATAGTCTCTCCTCAAGAGGTATAAGAGATTAAAAAATATCGAGATAGGTGAATGTTTCTCTCTCACCATTTGTTTGTTTGATTGTTTATTTATTTATTTGTTTTGTTTTTGTTTTGTTTTTCTCTTTAGCAGAAGACTTGATACTCTCTCAACTACGTAACGAAATGCATCTCTAATTCTGAAGAAATTATCAATTATTATGGAAATCGTCACATATTATGGTCAGACTAATGTCTACATGTTGTAAGTCCACGGGTTACACATATTAATTTCTCTTTGATTTAGATCGGAACGTGACTAGGAATCAAATATGCTACAAGTCTTTTACAAAAAATCACGATGAAAATAATTCTCCATGAGTTGAAACTTGAAAATGTCTACAGAAACAAAAAAAAAATGTTTACGAATTTTGAAAACAGCATTGCTATTTCGTAAGAAGGGAGTCCACGCGAATTCGGATGTATAACTACGATGGAAAGGTCGGTCACAGTCTTTTTAAACAATTGTTGATTAAAAAAATAGAAAAACATGAAATGAAATGAAATGTGAACATGATGAAAATTGTTTGGTGATAATTAACAATATTTTGTTTTGAAAATTCTACAAAGATTGAAATGTCAAGTACAAAGGGATGACAAGTTTGTTTTCATTTGGAGGTCCCCGTGGGGGCTATTTCATTTGAAACCGTGCTTTGGGATTTTTATCTCATGCAGATGGGGATGAGGACAAAACATTTGATGATGGAGTCTTCCCCACGCGAGATTCTTGAAATATATATATATGACTTTTCACTCTTTTTTCTTATTAATAAAATTTAATTTATTAAATAATTGTTATTTTTTATTATTTGAATTTTTTTTAATATTCTTTCAGTCACGAGACAACATTGCTAGGAGACAATAATAATAACAAAGAAATAGGGGAAATTAGGATATATAGGAGAAAAAAAATAACTACGAGACAAGAAATGGAGGATGAGAACGGAGGAACATTAGAGACATGAAAACATGGAGAGGAGAGTGCCCCCACCATTCCAAGAATCACATCTTCGAACTTGAACAAATGAGTGAGGATCTTCGAGTAAAAAAAGTTAAACAAAGAAGATTTACCACCCGATGGTCTGTTTTATAAACACAGTTTAATTAAACTTGGAGTTTCTTGTAATTAAAAAAAAAACTATTTTCTTCTCAACCCATCAACACCAACTAATCTTTTCTCTAAGTGATGACACAAAATTATGTTGAATACTCATCAGTAATACACATTTTTAATATAGACCTAATGTCTATGTTCATATTTCAATTGATGTTAGATGAAGTCGGCCGGTACTTAAAAAAAACAAAAAAAAAGAGTCTAATAACTAACACATTTTTAAATGCTTTGTACATATATGATATATTTGTTTTTGGTAGCTGGTGTAAGCAATTTTTCCTATAGTTTCACATTATTTTGCCAGTTACTCTTGCTTATGGAAAATAAATGACATACATAGTTAAGCTTAAGATGTATAATTTTGATCAATAAATTAACTAAAATTCAAACAATCATCAAGAGATCATGTCAAGAAATAACCCTTAAAATATGAACAAGAACCTCCATATAAATGAGTACTCAATTCAAACACTAGAGTGTGTCAAGCAATTATAGCTTAACCATTCAGTAAAAAACAGACAAACTTATGGAAATTATAGGAAGATAGAGAATTGAATCGAGTGAAGATAAGGGCTAGCTCCATCTTTCATAACTCGAGTTCCTGTAAGTAGTTCTTCTATATCTCCATGAGTCCATGCCATTTTTGTATTTGCACTTTTATTTTTTATAACAAAGATCAAGAAAAGGAGAAAAAAAAACTTGTTACTTTATATATATATATATATATATAGATATAGATATATATAACTGTTACTCTAGGTTTATTGACGTTTATCGAAGAAAAGAAAAATGACATAATATAGGGTAGAAATCGTTGTATGTTAGAGGTATTTCAAAAAGACTCAATATCTCTCACATTGATTTTGTTTTTTTCAAAGTGTTTAAACATCAATTTGTGTTAAACATGTCAAAGAGGTAAGTAAAGAGTATGGACTTGCTGTTGCACATATGAGATGGGTCTATTGTAGTGTAAATATGCCGATTTGCTCTTCCTGTGTTTGGGGATAAAATGATAATGGAGCTTTGGATTTTTTTTTTCTTTTCTTTTTATAGTTATAATTTAATTTGTTTAAATGTGATCCTGATGCGATCATCTTTTCACAAAATTAGTTACTTCTCCCTATCATTTTACAAAGTATGGGTTTTACTTACTTTAGCTAGCTAGTTTTGTGCCCTAACAATTTTACTTCCAAGATAGTGCAGTTACACGTCTCTGGAAAGTGCTATAGTTCATATTTTTCAAGCTGCAACGAAAACAGAAAATTGGTCCATAAAGTAAAATTTCATGTGGGTATAGTGTGAATGTACTAAAAATCAAATGTTGTCACTTGTATAGGCCACAAGTAGCGTCAGAATAGCTCAACTTTGATAGAAACAAACAACGCATCGGTCCTTTTACCCTACTGATTAAATGTTTCATAAAGGTCAATAGTCTTAAAGAATTCTGAGCGTTTGTTAGTGAGCCCAGTGTGAAAATAACGAGCTTCTTCGATATAATTATAGTGAAAGCACTCCTTTTAAGTGTTGACCGTTGCGTATATCTTAAAGTAGGGCTAAATGGGAACCTAGATACGAGTAGTATAGAAAAAAGTTTGGTAGCTTTTATGCTGCAGGTGGTCCTTTAATATTACCATTTTATGAGTATTTATAAATTATTAAAAAATTGAAAATTATATAATATGTTAAAATAAAGCATATAGTGTGATGTAACCTCATTTTTTAAGATGAGTTAAAATCAAATTTATATTTTAAGATGAATTTAGATTCTATCCTAACAATTGTGACTGTCATCCTTATTTTTTCTTTTTGTGTCTTAGGCAAAATGAAAAAATAACAGCTCTTATAATTATTTAAATACTACTTATGGTCTCAATTCTCAAATCTAAAATTGTAAAATATATTGTACTAGCAAGGCTATTCGGCTACCTGGCTCGGTCACTCGGCCACCTGGTAGCCGATACCCAATCGGCACCCGAATGGCCGAACCAGGTGGCCGATTAGCAACTAGATGATCCATAGATCCAGAATCCCACTAGTAAAGAATTAAGGACTCCCCCTAATTAAGGATTAAGAGTTAATCACACCAATAAGTCGATTAGAGGCGTATTACCTAATATGGTAATCCTGCCACAGGGCCCAGGGAGGTCAGGGCCCATAAATGTCAGTATAAATAGCTCATGTCACGAGGTAACGTCACTGTTCATTAATTACCCTAGATATTCGTGCTTGTCCTGACTTGAGCGTTGGAGTGCCTTTTGCAGGTACCAACCCCTTCACCGAAATATTCGATCGGAGCACTCGTTCGACCCTCAGATTACGAGAAGATTACTGGTGTATCCTTTTGACAGGTACATTTTGGCGCCCACCGTGGGGCCGAACGAAGATAGTTGGAAGATTAACTGAAAAGATTAATGGCGATAACTAGGAGAGCAAACACACAGGACCACCAAGCCGAAGAGGAAGAACATGTTGAGGTTGTTGACGAAACGGATCTTTCTAAAGCCGTTCGGTTGTTGAAACAAGAAATGGAGGTTATGAAACAGCAACGAGAAAAGGATGCAAGGGAGTTTTCGGCCTTGAGAGCCGAAAACGAGGCGTTAAAAAAATCAAGATACCTCATGGAGACCTACTCAGGCCACAAACACCCAAACCCAAGGGTCGTATTAATCCCATGCGATCCATACCTCGGCCCCCCATGCCTCGGTAGTGGCACCTGAAAAGCTCCCTTCGGCCTTACCCACTGTCGGTCGTCCCGCAAATTTGACAACTGTCGGATCGCACCGTCACCCTTTCACCCCCTCCATTATGCAGCTACCTCTAATGGATAATTGGAAATCCTTGCCCATTGATAAATATGATGGTACAACAGATCCTGATGAACATCTTGATGTTTTTTTTGACACAGGTGACGTTGAGTACAACGGATGATGCCGCCTTGTGCCGGATTTTCCCAACGTCTCTCAAAGGCAGGGCCCTGAGTTGGTTCACTCGGCTCCCTCCTAACTCAATTGACTCGTTCAATACTTTGTCTTCTCAATTCACCATCCAGTTTGCAACGAGTCGCCCTCACAGCATGACGTCCCTATCTCTGGTCGGCCTTCGACAAGACAAGAAAGAGTCACTCCGAGCTTTCATGGATCGGTTTAACAAGACAGCCTTGGAAATCCGAGACCTCAACCCCGCCATGGCACTTCATCACCTGACAACAGCCTTGAAGCCAGGCCCGTTCGTCAATAGTATTTGTAAGAAACCCCCTTCGGACATGAATGATCTACGAATGAGAGCCGACAAATACATGCAAATGGAAGAGTTGGCGGATTATCGTAATCAAGCCCGCGCTGAGCCAGTAAATAAGCCAGAAAAGCAAACAAAACATCCATTCAGAGGCCGAGGAAAAGAAATAGCACTAAGAGATCGACCCATGCGTGGGCCGAAGTACTCCAATTATACACCCTTGAACACCAGCAGGGCAGCAGTACTAGAACAAGCTCTCGCGTCCGAAGTACTTGCAGTACCGAAGAGAGCTTCCACACCACCACGGGCTAATACCAGCAAGTCTTGTAGGTATCACCGTAACCGTGGTCATTCCACCGAAGAGTGTGCTTCTTTAAAGGATAAGATTGAAGATTTGATTAAACAAGGCCAGCTTCACAATTTTGTGGATCGGTCTGGATCATCTCGGCCTCGCTCTTCATATCAACCTAGACACCATGATCGGCATACGCAGGATCGTTCTGATAGGCCTCGGCATGAGAGGAGCAGGTCACGAGACAGGAGGGATGACCCGACGCCTTCGCATCGGAGGGTCATTAACACAATCACAGGTGGATTCGCGGGTGGGGGCTCAACTTCCTCAGCCCAAAAAAGGCACCTACAAGCCATCCGATCGGTTCACGCTGTCGATAGGCAACCTTCCCGAAGGTTGCCAACTATAACATTCACTGATGCCGACTTTCAAGGTATTGATCCGGTGCAGGTCGATCCAATGGTGATCAGTGTTGAAATTCACAATTGCATAGTCAAGAAAACACTGATCGACCAAGGCAGTTCGGCGGACATTTTATATTGGAGTACCTTCAAGCAGTTGGGTATTTCCGAAATGGAATTAAACCCTTATGATGATCCCCTGGTTGGTTTTGCAGGAGAAAGGGTAAGTACTAAGGGGTATATTAAACTTTTCACTCGTTTCTGTTTTGACGAACAAGAAAGCAGGGAAATTCAAGTAAAGTACATTGTGGTAGATGCTAATACGTCGTATAACATCCTCCTCGGCCGACCGTCATTGAACATGCTAGGGGCAATTGTCTCGACACCGCACCTAGCAATGAAGTTTCCATCCGATAAGGGGAAGATCATCATGATTCATGCCGATCAGAAAGCTGCTCGAGAGTGCTATTTCGCTAGTTTGCGCATATCTCCGATGGAAGAAAGAAAGTCAAAGTCCAAGAGGGTTCATGTTGTTGACCCTTCGGCATCGGTTGAGGAGCTAGTTTGGGACCTTGACCCGAGAATGAATGACGAAGAACATGTTGAGCCAATTGAATCAAAGGTTCAGCTACAAATCGGGCCGCATCCAACTCAAGTTACGTACATCGGTGCCGATATAGCCAAAGCAGATCGTTCCACCCTATGCCGTGTGATAATGAAAAACAAAGATCTTTTCGCATGGACACTGTCCGACATGCCCGGCATAGACCCAAACGTCATGTGTCACAAGTTATCAATTTGCACCGAGGCAAGGCCAGTGGCTCAACGTAAAAGGAAAATGGGAACGGATCGAAAACTTGCAGTTGAAACAGAGGTTGCAAAGTTGCTTGAAGCCAAGTTTATTCGAGAAGTCCACTACACACTTGGTTGGCAAATGTGGTAATGGTAAAAAAGCCGAGCGGAAAATGGAGAATGTGTACTGACTACACCAATCTTAATAAAGCATGCCCGAAAGATGCTTATCCACTCCCAAATATTGATCGATTAGTGGATGGTGCCTCTGGACACAAGGTTCTCACCTTTCTTGATGCTTATTCGGGGTATAATCAAATCCCTATGCATCTCCGCGATGAAGAAAAGACAGCCTTTATAACTGATTCGGCCAATTATTGCTACCAGGTAATGCCCTTCGGATTAAAGAATGCAGGTGCAACCTATCAGAGGTTGATGAATCAGGTTTTTCGACACCAACTCGGTAGAAATATGGAGGTATATGTCGACGATATGGTCGTCAAGTCCGGAGACCTTACCAAACACGTAGCTGACCTTTCGGAGGTATTCCAACAGTTGCGCAGATATGACATGAGGCTGAACCCGGAGAAGTGTGTATTTGGGTATCAGGTGGAAAATTCCTTGGCTTTATGCTATCGACAAGGGGCATTGAAGCCAATCCTGATAAGTGCACGACAATCGTCAACATGGTGAGCCCCCAGAACCTCAAAGAAGTTCAGAAGTTAGCAGGACGACTCACGGCTTTATCAAGATTCCTCCCATGTTTAGCCGAAACAACAAAACCCATCGTTGGGTTGTTGAGGAAAGTAAAAAAATTTGAGTGGTCCGTTGAATGCGAAGAAGCTTTTTAGACGTTGATGGAACGCCTCGGTTCTCCCCCTGTTCTTTCAAAACCGGATCCCGAGGCTGATATGGTGGTCTATTTATGTGTATCAAACGAAGCAATCAGCGCCGTCCTGATTCAAGAAAAAGGGGGGCAACAACCCATTTACTTTATTAGCCGCATGTTACAGGAGGCCGAGACAAGATATCAGCTTCTGGAGAAGGTGGCATTGGGACTTGTTCATACTGCCCGGCGCCTTCGGCAATATTCTCATAGTCATCGTGTCGTAGTCTGAACTGACTGCTCGATCGCCAAGGTTTTGCGTAAACCAGAATTAGCAGGACGGATGATGGCCTGGTCAATCGAACTATCAGAGTTTGATATTAGTTTTGAACCACGACGTCCGGTCAAGTCTCAATGCTTGGCAGATTTTGTTAATGAATTGCAGCCGAAGGGCCACTTTGTGAGTGATTTGTGGATAATGCATGTCGATGGCTCCTCAAACAACCAAGGTAGTGGAGCCGGTATAATCCTCGAGGGACCAACAAGATTGACTCTCGAGCAATCTTTGAGATTTGCGTTCAAAGCTTCAAACAACCAGGCTGAATATGAAGCATTGTTGGCAGGTTTAAGACTTGCACAAGAGATCGGGGTCAGACGATTGACGTGTTGGACCGATTCGAAAGTAGTAGCAGAACAAGTAAATGATAACTTCTAGGTGAAAGATTCCAACTTGTTAAAGTACTATCATTTATTTCAAAGGATGTGCAACACTTTTGATGAAGTTCAAGTGAAGCACACGCCGAGAGAGCATAACGAGAGGGCCGATCAGCTAGCTTTAGCCAGCAGTACTTGGAAGCCTGGACAGTTACGAACCACACTTCACCTTGACCTTACAACTCTGAGTGTAAGCTCAATCGAATGCATGACGGTTGAGGAACCCACCCGAACATGGATGGCCAAAATAGTTGAGTACCTTGAACATGGTAAAGAGCCATTGGACCCGGCCGCCGCTAAAAAAATCCGAACACAGGCTGCCAGATATTCAATCGTGGGAGGAGAATTATACCGCAGAGGTTTTTCAGTCCCATTGTTGAAGTGTATCGATTCGGAACAAGCGGACTATGTCTTGAGGGAGATTCACGAAGGAATATGTGGTTTTCACTCGGGAGGACGAACCTTGGCCACAAAGGTGCTTCGGGCAGGGTATTACTGGCCAACCCTCAAGAATGATTGCGTACAGTTTGTTAAGCGTTGCGTCTCATGCCAACGGCACGGCAACCTTATTGACGCTTCGGCCGAAGAACTACACGGTATTAGCTCACCTTGGCCTTTCGCATTGTGGGGAATGGATATCCTCGAACCATTCCCAATTGCTAAAGGCCAATGCAAGTTTTTGTTAGTTGCGGTTGATTACTTCACAAAGTGGGTCGAGGCCGAGCCACTGGCCAGCATCACAGCTGCTAATGTTTAGAAGTTTTTGTGGAAGAACATCATTACTCGCTTCGGCGTTCTACGAGCCCTCATAAATGACAATGGTCTGCAATTTATTGATCAAAAACTCAACCGGTTTATTCAAGATCTCGGCATTAAACATAGGTTCACATCAGTAGAACACCCACAATCCAACGATCAAGCCGAAGCGGCCAATAAAGTGATCCTTACTGAATTAAAGAAGAGGTTGGGAGATGCCAAAGGAGCTTGGGTCGACGAATTGTTAGAGGTCCTTTGGGCTTATCGGTGTACACCTCAATCCACAACTAAGGAGACACCTTTTCGGCTAACATATGGTACCGACGCCATGATCCCTGTCGAAGTGGGGGAACCATCCTTTCGGCGGCAACATTTTGAGGAGAACGCTAATGAAGCATCACTCAGAGCCGAAATAGATATGATTGAGGAGGATCGCACCAAGGCCCAGATCATAGCCGAAGCTTGTAAACAGCGAATGGCCAAACGGTTCAACTCTACACTCTCCAAAAGAGAGTTTCATGAGGGAGATCTCGTCTGGAGAGTACAGGGATCAGCAAGACGTAACCCTAAAGAAGGCAAGTTAGCTGCCAACTGGGACGGCCCATTCAGAATCCGACATAACCTGCATAACGGAGCATACAAACTGAAAGAACTTTCAGGAAAGATCATCCCCAGGACGTGGAATTCAACTCATTTAAAGACTTACTTTAGTTGATTTGTAACTGATGTACATCCATGGTGCACTCTTTTCCTTGATCGGTTTTTTTCCCCCTTATAAAAATGTGAAAAGGGGTTTTGGCTGACAAGGTTTTTAACGAGGCACCCATTAATGAAAGACAGATTCACTTCATCCTTCTCACTCTTACTCTCGTCTGAATTAATATATACAAAAAAGGCTTCCCTCCCGAGTTGATCAACTCGGCTAAGGATGTGCCTCGGAACTCGTAAAAAAGGCTTCCCTCCCGAGTTGATCAACTCGGCTAAGGATGTGCCTCGGAACTCGTAAAAAAGGCTTCCCTCCCGAGTTGATCAACTTGGCCAAGGATGTGCCTCAAAACTCGTAAAAAAGGCTGAATGGGTTCATTCGGTTGTCTTAAAAAGCAAGCAACACCGAATGGGTTCATTCTGTTCCCTCATAAAGTAAACAGCACCGAATGAGTCCATTCGGTTTTCTCTAAAAAAGGAAGTAGCGCCGAATGGGTTCATTCATTTGTCTTAAAAAGCAAGCAACACCGAATGGGTTCATTCGGTTCCCTCAAAAAGAAAACAGCACCGAATGAGTCCATTCGGTTTTCTCTAAAAAAGGAAGCAGTGCCGAATGGGTTCATTCGGTTGTCTTAAAAAGCAAGCAACACCGAATGGGTTCATTCGGTTCCCTCAAAAAGCAAGCAGCGCCGAATGGGTCCATTCGGTTTTCTCTCAAAGCAAGCAACACCGAATGAGTCCATTCGGTTTTCTCTAAAAAAAGAAGCAGAGCCGAATGGGTTCATTCGGTTTTCTCTAAAAAAGCAAACACCGAATGAGTCCATTCGGTTTTCTCTCAAAAAGAAAGAACGCCGAATGAGTTCATTCGGTTTTTCTCTCAAAAGGCAAGTAACGCCGAATGGATCCATTCGATTTTCTATCAAAACAATCTCACTCAGTTTTCCTAGATCGGATTATTGAGTTATTAACTTATGCAATATACGGTTTTGCGCAAACTCCTCGGATTCAACAATTCAAAAATACAAAGCACTATTTCGGAATGCAAAGGAAAACATTACTTTTATTAAGAAGGTTCTAATGACCCTTTCATACAAAAGGGGGGGGGGGCTCTATCGGCCTATCAAAAAATTTAATCATCAGGGTTCACGGGGGCATCTTCTTGAGTTTTCGGCTCATCTTCTTGCTCACCATCCTCAACCTCGTCATCCAAAGCACCTTGAGTTTCTTCCTCCTCAGGGGTGTCATTCGGCTCATCGCTATCAGGCAGAGCCCCGGAGGGCATCTCCCCGAACGACATAAATGACCCTTGGTAAAAGTCCTTGGTCATGTTAAACTCAAAGCCCTCACGAAAACGGCCAAAGTATCGTGCTTTCCGAAGAGCATGACGAAAACCGGCCTCATGGTAAGCCACAATGTGATCTTTCGCCTCCTCCTTGACCCTCTCCAGCTCGGCTTGGGCCTCTTCAGCTCGGCGTTTTTCTTCGTTTACTGCCTTTTGAAGGTCTAGCCGAAGAGTGTCGTTATTGTGCCTTTGCACATCTAACTCGGCTGCGAGTTGGCGGTTTGTAGCTAAGGCCTCCTCGGTCGTTGCATTGGCCTCGGCTATTGCTTTATCAGCCTCCTCCAGTCTTTGCCTCAACTGCATCAATTTGCCGATTGGCCCCATGGCAAGTTGGTTCACCAATGCTAACGACCGAGACTGTAATTCGCAATAGTACTTACACTTCTATACCGCGTCCAGCTGACCCAGAAACTCTCGGCCCTGCTCCGAGAAGGCATCTGGCCGAACAAGTGAATCGGCAGAAACACCTTCACCCCAAAAGGCCCTAGACATCAACCCGGGAGGGACACAAATTACCGTTCCACCTGGTGAAGACACAGTTTGTTTCGACTTCTTTGTTTTCTCGGGCCTTTCCTCGACATTTTTTCTCTTATGGCTCCCCTCGGCAACTCCCTTCCCTTTCTTCCCCTTTTTATGCTTGCGATTCGGTGAAGGAGGGATCCGATTGTCCTACTCTAGCCGAGGCGATGGGGCAGCCGATGAGCTACCCATAACCTCGGAAGCCTTAACCAGTTGCACCCGACTAGCTAGGAGATCACGAATGTTGAACTCGTTCGCTCCACTCTTCACCATGATTCCTGCATAAATA